ATGTCAATAGAATTGCCTAAAGTGGCGGTACGACTTGGCGTACCTACCAGGAACCTAAGTTACGCCTACGATCCTGCCAAGTGGGATAAAGTTGTACATGCTATGGTTGCAGAAGGAATAGTAAGTTATGTTAGTCTTCTTGATCTTGGTTCTAAGGACCGACTGCCGGGCCTTGTCAGTCTTACCTTAATCCAACTCAAAAATGTCACCATTGATGAGTTCCTCAGTTTACTGCCTCCATTTCTACCAAAAAAAGCCTTGCTGGATAAGAACAAAACAAGCAAGGTACTCACCTTTACGGGAATATCTAGTAGCTCTTTTGAAGCACTGATATACAAACTGGTGAACCTGACGACTCAATTAACCGTGGAACAATTTGGCATTCTCTAYAATCTTACTGCAGACCAAAAGAGAGCAACAGAGAGGAGCACCCTAATGCAGTTATCTCAGGCGTGTGGAATATCGATGTCTCTTGTTTTAGACAAGAACATACCAAGTATCGTATGGGACACACTGGGAAACATCGCCACAAATGCTCCATGTTCGACCATGTTAAAAGTGAAGGGACAACTGATTTCCTCTTTTAGCTTGACCAACGTACAACAAATGACTGTTTTACAGATTTTCCTTGGTATTTGTAATCAATACTGGAAATCCTGTCGCCTGACCATGACCTTGGAGCCTTCTGAATGGGAATGTTTCGATAGTGTAACTCTTACACAGGCTGCTACCATCCTTTCTACAACTGATGCGACATTGCAAGGCAAACCAGTTCATGATGTGGTGTTGGGGATGTCTCAAAAGTGTGAAGAAGGCAGTCACAGTCTTACAGCGTATCGACAGAAGACATCCAATACCCTTCAAACSCTGTTCAACSYGACAGCAAGCCRACTGCAAACTTTGYTAGGAATAACGCCTCAGACGTACGCAGGATACACTTCAGCTCAGTTGGTAGAGGCATACTTAAATGCATCTTCAATGGATCTTGGGATTCCCTTAAATAYCATRTTCAATGAAAGGAGTACCATTGCCGAACTGAAGCCTACCATTCAAAATATCTTACCAGCAATTTKGYTGAGCAAAWMMAAATTTGATAACGAGACACTRAGCSTATAYCTTACAGCTAATTCCATTAGTGATGAGGTGTTTGGAGGAAACAGTACCCTYGCTGTACTCTTGGCAGCAASTGGGTTYGAYACTAMAACACTAAAGATAATCTACCGCCTAACAGACGMACAGSTTGAAGTGCTGTCTTTGTTGAACATTAAAGAGTTAMAGAGGTATTGTGGTCTTGATCTGGCGACGCTCAAACAGCTTACTCYATATRATRTTACTATTGCTTTAGTTGGGATTCAAAACGTGGAGGGAACGTGTAAGTCAACTAGGTTTTTYGTYGCAGCAAAGAGCAAAAACGTATCAGATCATGAAGCAACATGTWYTGCYCTTTCAAGTACATCAACCTCTTTGATGAGAATAGTTGAACAGTGTTCYGGACTTACTTGGCGCTTYAATGCAAAGATGTTTGGAGTAGCSWYGAGWGATTGGCCACAAATGGATGCGCTCAACAAGGMCAACATKSCAWYTYTKTCAAGYTTGTYGGTCGATACTSTCCMACACAATACTCTGGAGAACCTGCTGATAAAAGCTAATGAAATCCATAGAGCATCCAGAAGTAGCTATCAAGTCGTACTCCGAACATATTCCACTSAAACTCTCAGKGTCCTCTTGACAACATTTAGCACAAGTAAAGMTGAAGTCACACAGACGTTGARCATCACAGAAGCTGCRTTKGATGCCATGACTCTTCTGTCACAAGTTGAAAAAGTACAAGAATTTTTAAAGARGAAGTACACTATTACCTTCGCCTCGATTRCACCCGTACTAGAMGTCATTCTCAGTAATATCAAATACTTAGCACCTACTGRATGGCAAGAAATGCTTCYCCCCTTAAARCAAGAGATCGTTGCCAGTGGAAGTTTACAGCTGAGTGTCACCCAAAACAATTTTATAACYCWCCTACAATTAAGCTCTAATATTTCATCTTCCAMWCTGGCTCAGCTAGAGGTGGCATGGGATCGTGAGTTTGKCAGGTTACTTAGTRGCAAGARKWTTTCAGAAAACCAAAYCATTGGCGCTATACAACAGCTTAGGAATATTAGCRAAGAGTCGTTAAATRGYATGACRTTGCTGACCTTCTATAAGGAACACTTAAGTCTCACAAAARACGAARTATCTATCCTCTTTAAAGCAAGTCCACAAGCCCTTGAAGTATTGAATGAGTTTTATTTCCAAGAAATACCTTGTTCTTGTGGGTTATCAGAAGCCAGTCTTAAGAGCAAAACACCATATCAACTGTTGACAGCAATGATTGGTCAAAATGATGTGTCATCTTGTCGTACCATTACCTTGCTTGTAGCATTTAGGCTGCTAAACATCGACCAAGTTACTGCAAAATTCAATGTAACATTCAATGAGACAACGCCTCTACTTACCAACATCGAAATGTTCGTTGATTTGCCATTGGAAAAGATCGCTTGGGGATTAAAAGTGAATGGATCTGATTGGCCAATAGTTGCTGCTGTGAGTTTGAACCACTTAGCAAGCGTTACTTCTACCACAGTTCAACAAATGAGAAATCTCACGATGGCTGACGTCACTAACAAAATTGTATCGAGTAAAGCACATTTTACCTCACAGCTCAGTGCCCTCCATAACACACTAGTTGCACAAGCATCAAGCATCTTTGCTTTGACAGCCTCCGAGACGTGTGGTCAATGCAATATTCCTACCAATGACATCTTGAAGACTTTCCTTAGTCATCTTGGTGGTATAATATATTTAGACCCTCAAAATCTCTCATTTGTAGCTGGGTATGAATGCATAAAGCATGACAATATGTTACTTCTTCTGTCCAAGTGGTCTATGCTTGTTCCTCACATCATACCAAGGTCCTTTGCAAATATCTCAACACTGCTGGGCATCACGGAACAACAACTCGCTGACATCCATGCCCTACCAAAAAGCGAGATCATGAACATGACTTTGAGGCAATACATCGATATTACAAAAAGTCGTATTCATCCTTTGTTCAAATGCAGGGAAAGCATGAAAAATGACATTGTGTTAACGAATACGTGCAAAGGTATGAAATAAACTGACCAATCATTGTTCAGTACTCATTCTTAATAATAATTGCGTTCCTGGGGTGCCTTCAAAAACAAAATCCTTAGTTTGGCTAATCAAGGGTGGTGACTGGCCTCATCATGTAAAAACTTGGTTAAAGTGCAAATGAACCCTTCGACAATACTTTCAGTACTGATTTCTCATGAAGTAAATAGTTGAATGGTAAAATATTTCTTGATTTGAGTGATGCGT